TTCTGGAATTCATTTGATTCATGAGGTCATCCAGCAGCTTACCAGTAGATGCTCAAGAACGCACCTCTGGTAGGAGATAGCAGGTTGAGGATGAACATATTTGTAAACCCTGCGTCCAAAGTACATAAAACAGTGTATAAAGGCGCAGTATAGTAAGAGCAGAATCATCAGAAAAATTTTATAAAATCAAAACAGCAATAGTTTCTATCACTGACTATTGAACGCAGTTAAAATGATAATTTTGACACATTTTCTTTCTAAGTATTTGCTGCTGCAAACATAGAAAAGAAACATCAACGCAAAGAAAAAATCATTCAGCAGAACTAATAGTCCAAAATGATGATTCAGTTTGGAAAGTTTCGAAAGCAGAAGAACTACTCTCCTTTTATATCAATGAAATTATTAGTCATATCTGTTAAATTCGGAAATATTCAATTATCATTCCTGACTATGAAAATAACAGAATAAATCTATTATGATTAGGCAAACCTTTACCTAGGATTTTCGACCCCTCTGTAGCACGATCAATTTCACAAGGAGCAAGTTCGTCTAATTTCCTGATAAAAGAAGACATCATCATTATATGGATAAAAAAGTAGAATGTCATTTGAGAATTCCATCAAATCATGCTTCAACAATCATCAAACAATCATTAGAAATAAGGTCCAGAAGAATTACGTTTGTGTTCCGGAGCTAAGCTGATGCTGCAACGATAATCTTAAATCAGAAGTTCCTGAATCTGATATCCATGCCGGTGAAGAATCATTGGCTTTATCAAATCTGACATTCTCCTGATAAAAGTACCAGAAATTAAGTGGTGTTAGCTATTCATTGCATCTTCCACAAGGAAACAATTGAGGAAGATTTACATATATACCACTCAATTCTTATATAGTTTCATATCTAACACCTAAGCTTTAATTTTTACATATTTGCTACCTAATCAATGCATGAAAAAGGAACATTTCATTTTTAAAAAATCAATAAAAGTCAAAATATGCATAAGAATTGGATGGTATGTAAGTAAATGCTCCAACAATTAAATGAAAAAGGAAGTTCTGCCTATTAGTCATTAAACTTACTCCAGAATCTGCGCGCATCCATCCAGGAATATTTTTGGACAAAACATTAATGTAATGTTCCATAGCTACCTCTGGTATCATGCTTCCCAGTCTTTGCCAAGCTTGCCTTGCACATATCAGTCAGTGAGCTCATGACTTGCAAATGAAGTATGTAGAAAAAAATAATCTACAAGCAAATAAACTACAAATTAAGGGGTTATTTGGTTAGATGTCAGCGTTAATAATATTAATGACAAACAGCCACCTCATTGTCACCATGCATAATTTCAGTTATCGATACGTAAGCATTGGATGATAATATCTCTCTAGTTACTAATACGTTTAGCACTTAATTAATCCATAACAATGTCCAATGTTCATTCCAAGGATGTTGTAAAATTCATGTTTAGTATTTCTTGTTTTCTATATTCTTAGTTGTGTATATATCACTTGAATTCAATAGAAATCCTCGCAAAACAATTACAAATCTCATAGAACTCAATTCCCCTCTCTTCCTCGAGATCACAATCTTCTCTGCTATATCAATGATACGACAATCTTCTCCACTGAATCAATGATACCTTTAGACAACCACCTCCCACAATTTTTCAAAACAACCTGCTACTCCAATCCACTCCATGCCAATCGGATCCAACTCGCCCAACTTCCATGCCATCTTTGCTCTCTCTAAGTGTCTTGTGGTCTATGTAGTTTCTTCAACCTCATTCAAAGATTGTTGTGATAATGGAGTTAACACAAACCACAAAAGAAAAAGTAAATATTATTACTGAAAACAAATATGTGGTTACAACCAACACACTTGAAAAGAAAAAAATAACAACCCACACACGGAAATCAGAAATACAACAAATGACAACACCAACTCAAATTATGGTAGATCTTGGAATGGTGGCAGTGTTCAGCGAGGGTCTAGAAGGTGGTGGGATGGTTGGCAAGCTGAAAACAACAAGGCAATGACTTTCCGAGTTCCAGACGACAAGTACGCGATAAATATTGACATGCCACGGCTGTTCGGGATGATGGCAGCAGAGGGCTGAAACAAAAGTGACAGTGAAGATGGAGGGCTGGAACGGTGTTGGCAACGAGGATAGAAGGCTGGAATGGTGAAGGGGGGTGCGGTGGACTACGGAACAGCCAAAGGAAAGCTAACACACACACGGAAATCAGAAATACAACAAATGACAACACCAACTCAAATTATGGTAGATCTTGGAATGGTGGCAGTGTTCAGCGAGGGTCTAGAAGGTGGTGGGATGGTGGACGGGATGGTTGGCAAGCTGAAAACAACAAGGCAATGACTTTCTGAGTTCCAGACGATAAGTACGCGATAAATATTGACATGCCACGGCTGTTCGGGATGATGGCAGCAGAGGAGGGCCGAAACAAAAGTGACAGTGAAGATGAAAGGCAGGAACGGTGTTGGCAACGAGAATAGAAGGCTGGAATGGTGAAGGGGGGTGCGGTGGACTACGGAACAGCCAAAGGAAAGCTGTCATGGGCAGGAGCAATGAAGAAAAAGGGTGGTTGGACAGCGAGGAACTGTTAGGAAAACAGCAAAAGGGCTGTTGTCGGAGACCATGATACAACCAAAGCACCACCTTAAATTCTAGAATGCAGTCCTCAAAGAAAAGAAAGATGTCAGTGACTGTCCCATTACAAAACACATAAAAACTGAATCTAAAATATCAGGAATACAAATATATAATAAGAGAAAACTAGGAGCAGACTCAGAGGACCCGGTTGACTCCTCGGAAGATAAGAAACATAGACCGGTTCGGTCTAGGCGAAGCAACGGATTGAGCAGAATTGTCCTCTTGGGGGATGAGATCCTGCTTTCGCTTGCGGACGATCAGTGTCAGACGCTCCCGCTTCAGTTATGTCCATGAAGGACATGTACATGTCTCTGATATGCCCCAACGCATATTTAACACACTTAAAATTATGTCAAAATTTCAGAGAAAATTAAATTTTTGACTGAATCGGGCATGACCGACACAAGTTAGACACATAAATAAAACACCTACGATGTGCACATTCCATGAGATATAGTACATGAACAATATCCAACCCTCATCTCTGTGTTGTATGGGGACTCGCATCACAACTCTTCTTTCCCTTCATTTTTCTCTTCATTCCTAACTCTTGCAGCATTACTTTTATTATCTTCATTAGAGAAAGTTATGTTCGCAGCTCTCCTTCAACATCAAAGTCCTTGCTTCTTGATTGTTGCTCCTTGTATTTCTCCTATGGGGTGAATCTCTTACTCCTCGATTAGCACAACTCTCTTTTCTTGCAACATTTCTTTTTTTTCATTCAATGAAGCTTACTTCTATAACTATTCTTTGAAAAAATTTGCTCCTCAATTCTCCCCCATGTATCCCTTTCAACAAGATTTCACAAAGTTTCTATTGCCTCCAGTGATTCATCCTTTATTTTTCAATGCAAAGGTATTTCATAAAAGGTATGCTTATTAAATTATTTTGGTGAGGAGATTCTTTGGTGCCAGTGGAAATTTTTGTTTTATATGCCATACTTCTATTTTAGCTTACTATACTTGTTAACTCTTCAAACTAAAAAACATCTTTTGTTTTTGTATAAACCAGGAATGTAAATGGGTTACCTAATCAAATTCTTAAAGGATATAAGAGATTGAGAGCTGAAAATTTTTTTTATTTCAAAACATTATTTATTCTTTAACTCTCTTAACTTTTACACTTGTAATGTCTAACACATATGATGCATTTTGCTTTGAATGTTGTAGCCATTGAGTTATTGCTTATGTCCGCTAACGTGTCAATTTAGCCCTTAACCTATTGGAAACTAATGTTAAACATTGCCTTCGCTAAAAGTCAAAAAGAAATTTATGTCCTAGTAATTATTGAATTACAATTGCTTGCAAACCAGTTATGTTATATGAATTTGAGTGCTGGGTAACAATGAAAATTTAAGTATGCGTATATAATATCATACTTCACTCGGTGAAAAATTAGGTGAAAACTACTCTATATGATATATTTTATATTAAATTAATATAAATAACTTATAAAATACAGCATTTTATCTATGATGTGTCATTTATTACCTTTTAAATTATGATGTGGCTAATTACATGTTATGTTTGCTTCCATGCTTAGTATCTTTATGGATGAGCCTTTCTGCTTCAAGCCACATTAACAATGATAATTTTGAGAAGTAAAATTACATTGCTCTAGTTAAAGAGAAAGAATACATCGAGTGGCACCGCTTACTCTTTCATATGGAGCAAGCAAGATAAGAGAACAATGGAGGAAATTCATAAAACTCCTTGATCATAATGCAAGGTGAAGGCAGGATGTTAACTATCAACGTTATACTCTTTACTAACATGAAGTGGTAGAACAAATACTAAAAAGAATAGAAGACTCTTGGTGGCATTAACAAAAGAGAAATTGAATGTTATTTTAATCACTTTGTGTCATCTAACCTTATAATAACATCACCATTTACAATAAGTCTCAAAACCAAGAAGACAAAGCTCGTATGTGAATTCTATAAGGAAAATCCTCTTATCAAATTATTGTTTCTTGCATTAGAAATATGCTAATTTAAACTTGAAATAGATATTGGGGCAATTGCATACATAGCACTCAAAATATTGCTATTTATAAAACAATAACCCAACCCTCTTGCATCATTTTACCTTTTCACTAAAATATGAAAATTTGCAATCAAATCTCAATCAATATTTTTCCTTTTTATCAAATGCCTTATGATTTGATTATGCAAGCATAAACGCAAAAAGATCCGATAATTCAAAAAAATAATCAAATTGGCCATATTATAAATAGCAATGCTTCGAGTGTTATGTATATAATTATCTCCATCATTTATTATCATTTGTTGAAATATTAAATAGAATTCATACTTTTACATTCTCTTTTATCTTGACTGTTTTTTAAAGATGCTATGATTATAAAAGAATGTAAGTTTGTGAATCAATATGTTAAATCTACTTTAAGGCATGTTTGGTAGCATCCTATTAATTGGATTTAGCCATGGATTTAACTGAAATCCAACCAAACACCAAAAAAATAAAAATTAAATCCAACGCTTCATTAAGTTCTTAAAGGGTATAAGAGATTAAGAGTAGACAAATTTTTATTTCAAAATATTATTTATTATTTAACTCTCTTATACCTTCACACTTTTAATGACTGACTCATAGGATGCCATTGAGTTACTATTTATGCCTGTTAACTTGTCAATTCAGTGCTTAACCTATTGGAAACTAATGTTAAACATTGCCTTTGCTAAAAAGTGAAAATAAATTTATGCCCTATGTATTATTGAATTAAAATTGCTTGCAAACCGGTTATGTTATGTGAATTTGAGTGCTTGATAACAATAAAATTTAAGTATACGTATATAATATCAAACTACACTTGATGAAATATTAAGAAAAAATACTATACATTATATATTTTATATTAATAATTTATAAAATATAAGATTTTGTTTATGGTATCTCATTTTCTACTTTTTTACAATTATGATGTGTTGATAAATATGTGCTATGTTCGCTTCCATGCTTAATATCTTTATCGACAAGCCTTTCATCCGCTTCAAACTACATTAACAATGGTAATTTTGTGAAGTAAAATTACATTGCTGTAGCCCAAGAAAAAGAATACATCGAGTGGCACCTCTTACACTTTCATATGGAGCAACCAAGGAAAGAGAATAATGGTATAAATGCAAAAAACTTCTTGATTGTCATGCAAGGTAAAGGTATCAATGTTGTGCTCCTCAATGACATGAAGGGGTATATCAAATACTACAAAGAATAAAAGACTCTTGTTAGCATTAACAAAAGAGAAATTGAATGTTATTTTAATCACTTTCTGTCATCTAACCTTATAATAACATCATCATTTAGTACAGGACTCAAAACTATGAAGACAAAGCTTGTACGTGAAAATTTCAAGAAAAATACTCTTATCAAATTATTGTTTCTTGCTTTTGAAATTTGCTAATTTAAACTTGAAATAGACACGGTGACAATTGCAACATAGCACTCAAAATATTGCTTCATACAAAAACAATAACACTCTTGCATCATTTTATCTTTTCACTAAAATATGAAAATTCACAATAAAACCTCAAATAATTTTTTTTACTTTTTATCAAATTCCTTATGATTTGATTATGGCAAGAATAAAAACAAAGGTCCGATAATTCAAAAAAATGACCAAATTGGTCATTTTATAAATAGCAAAGTTTCGAATGTTGTGTTTATAATTATCCCCATCATTTATTATCATTTGTGGAGATATTAAATGAATTTCATATTTTTACATTCTCTTTTATCTTGATTGTTTTTTTTAAGATGTGATGATTGTAAAAGAATGCGAGTTTGTGAATCGCTTTGTTAAATTCTACTTTAAGGTTGTCTTTCGTAGCATCCTATTAAGTGGATTTAGCCATGAATTTAACTTAAATCCAACAAAAAACAAAAAATTAAAAATTAAATTCAACACTCCGTTAAATGAATTATCGCGTTCTGTCTTTAAAAATCGTGTTCTCTCTTTTGTAACATAAACCTTTGAGAGGTGGATTACAAATTTTATTTCTTCGTCGCTCACAAGGTTCGTCTTCATCGACACAGCGCTTGGATTTACTGAATTTGTTAAATTCTGTTTAACGTAAATTCATGTTACAGTCAAACAACACCTAAAAATACTTTTGTTCAATATTCAAATTCAGTCGATGCCTTGAACAACAAAATCGACTATTATAAAACGCAACCCACAAGCTGTTATAAATAGCAGCTCAACAGAATTGCTTTTGCAAAAAAAAAAAAAAAAAAATTAGAAAAAAACTTCATTAATAGCACGGATGAGTTCATTGTAAGATTCTTCTACACTCCAAGTTCTTTTGACATTAAGATGTCATATTTTGAATATATTTAAAATATATATAAACAAAATAATAATGAGGGTTAATGTTAAGGTGTGTCGGACTTCAACATAACATTGAACCTAAATAATACTAATTAAATAATACTAATCTAAATAACAAGCAATTCTTTGACTAATATAACAATGAAACAAAGATACTTTGTTTGACAAATAACACTGACATCATAATAATATTGACATCCTAATAACAATGGTATATGAATAATAATAAATCAAATAAACCTCAAGGAAAATGTCATTTGGAGATATCAACAAAGCAAAAAATTAACATCATTTAATAAAAACATTATATTAAATTTCTGTTAAACAACTCACCTCTCATTCTATTCTAGACAATAAGAACAAAATGTCTATATTCGCTTAAAGTTATAATGATTTTAAAATACTTGCGATTCCCTCCCACCCTCCCTCTCTGATTTAAAAATGAAGACGTAATGAGTGACATAGATATTACTCAATTGTCAGCTCTCAATTCTTATGCACTCTCGATTCCAACAATTCTCTCCCCTCCCTCACAATCCCTCCAAATCAGAGAATGCTAAAGGAAATAGCAGGGCCAGTGGAATCAACCAGAGATGTTGAAGAAGCTACCATTGGAAGAGCTCGGCATGCATGAGAGATCATGAAGGCTCGACTTTGATGACTTACGTAGAGCGGAGGTCCTCAAATAGAATCCCTTTCACTGACTCCACTATTTTGACACATCAAGTTCACTTTCATATCTTATATCTATTTACTTTCATTTGCTCATCATCAAAGGGAAATGGTTTTTCTTTCACTCCTGAAGTTTGATTTGATGGTTGATGTTTGTAATTTTCATTGCAAGTTCCATACACATTAAGTAATATAATGGTGTGACTTTTATATTTTTTAGCACTCTTTGCTCCTTTTCTTTCTCTGTAATTGATTGGATGCAAAAGGCTTGAATTCTAAATTTAGAAGCAAAATATTAGATAGTGTGTATCTGGGAAAGATATAAAAAATATCAATATCCTTTGATTCTACACCGAAAGAAAATGATTATAAACCTTTTTTTATTTTTTGAACCAGTAAGAAATAATTGGATATCTAAATTGGGCGCCAAATCTAGCTCACTTGACCCAAAAAAAAAAAAAACAAACAAAAAAACAGTAACATCTCATTACAGTTTAACAAAAGTGAAGCAAAGAGATTCTAAGAACATTTGATAATAACTTCAGGAGAAAGATTCTTAAGAACAGAAGAATGGAGAGCTCCTGCAATACGGAAAAAGGTGCAGCATTTGATTAGCGCTCCGAAATTATCCTATAAATATTAGCACTCCTTATGGATCCTATGTGGCTCCAACACCAAGAAAATCAATGAAAGGAAAGCTAATCTTCTCCGTCTCAAGTTCTTCTGCCTCCTCAGATATGAAAGCATTGTTGATCACTGAATCAGTTGCTGAAGCCTCAGAAATTGAATCAGATAATCCGGAGTGATGAATCCCTGGCACTGGAATCAGGGGGGAAGCTTGTCGTAATTCAACGGTAGGGTCAAAAATTCTCTCATAGCATCCATTTCTTCCTTCTGCCAACTTTCCATCTGTCTCAAAAATGAAAAAAATTAGTGAAAAGATCAAAAGAATCAGCCCGAGCAGAAGCAAGCAAGAGAAACGGTAAATGAAATGTCAGATGATTTCCGAATATGACAAGTTTATAGTCGAATCAAGCGTCTCGAATTCAAACCTTGATTAAAATTTATCCAGAGCTCCGATTTCAGCAAATTTATAATAAAACTGATCGGCTCGACGCGCAGCACCTGCAAGACGGACCTAATGATATCAAAATCATTTCAATCCGTGTCAAATTAAAACAATATCAAGTCATTAAACCATTCTTTGATGATTTTCGGACACATTCGAAAGGTCAGATGATTTTGAATATGGCAAGTTTATAGTCGAATAGAGCGTCTCGACAAGACGAATCCAACGAGTCTAAGATTGCACAATTCCGACATCGTTAATTCACTCAAATGTCCATTAAACGTATTTTGATCGGAGAATGTTTTCAGGACCGTCTGATTAAAATGATTCATATTCATGCATTAATGACACACAGAACACTATAAATAAAGTCTCACCCCTCACATGAGGGGAGAGACTTGAAGCTTCAAAAAGAACTGGAACCTCTGAGAAGGAGCTGAAGTCCAACACTATCCCGATTGTTGTCGGTGTTGTCGGCCACCGCCGATCTCCATTGACCACTACCAACAGTCTTCAACACTCGTCGATGGCCGTCAGCCACTGTCAACCATCTTCGTCGATCATCACCCATCATCATCGATCACCACCAACCAGACGTCGTTAGTCATCGTCATGGGTCAACCACTATCGACCATCACCGTCGATCACCACCAACCAGACATTGTTAGTCATCGTCATGAGACATGAGTTCATCACTACGGTTCATGTGTCAACAACGACCTACATGGTTCATAGCTCGTGCAGCTACCGACTCTGGCCCACATTGCTTACGGACGTCATTCATACTTGCCCCTACGACTTGTCTGGTTCATAGCTCGTGCAGCCCCCGACTCTGGCCCCCGCGACCTACATACGTATTCATACTCGCCCAAACAACCTACATGGTTATTAGCCCATGTAGCTCCCGACTCCGACCCTCCCGGCCTACAGATATCATTCATATTCGCCCACACGACCTACGTGACTCACAGCTCGTGGTGCTCCCGACTACAGCCGCAACGGTCTATGTGATCCACAGCTCTCGCGACCTACATACGTATTCTGTAGCAACTATTTACAACACTTATAACGGACTACTACCTACACAACAATCAATAATAACCCTTGCAACATACTGTCACCAAGAACTGCAACCAGATTATAGTTATACAACTTTGTAATTCTATCTTCCTTAAATTAGGAGAAGAATTGACGTGTCTAATTATCATTCATATGGATTATTTCAATTGGACTAGACACCGTCGTTTTTCCCCTTTTCAAGGGATTTTCACGTAAAAAATCAATGTGTCTCCTCCTGCACACTTCTCTTATGTTATATACGTGTGTTGAATTCTCGTGCCACGCTAAGACCATAATCCATTACTCTACCGCCGCGAATTTTTTTGGCACGCATAAGGTCCAACTAAATTGCATCTAATAATACATTATGGATCAATCTTCAACTGGTTTCCCATTCTTCTAGTAGCACTAATCCAAATTACAATCCTCTAGCTTTTTAATGTTTGCAGAAGTCAACCAGAATGAAGAATCATGCAGCAGCAAATCATTTTTACCTAAAGCGATCAAGCCAATCAAAAGGAAGGAAAAAAAACAAAAAATAAAGAAATAAAGAACCTAGCAAGAAAGCTAGAAAATTAGAGATTACCATTTGGCCCGAGCAGAGAAATTCAATGGCAGCGGTTGCGACTCATAGCATGGCCCCTCGGTGGCTATCTTGTTAAGCCCGTAGAGCTCCATCTGCACATCGCCACTCGCCCTAGACAACGCAGCTGCGCCAGTCGAGCTACGAACATACTCAGTAGCCACAGCAAAAAGCTTTTCCACCTCGCTCTTCTCTATCCCTTCCCACTCGTCCTCCCCATGAAGCAACGATCCCACCTCCTCAACATCGCCCTCACTTACCCTCTCCATCTCAATCTCCTTACCCACTTCATGCCGCTCCCCCTCCCCTTCCTCCAAACTCTCCAGTACCTCAGGCATCTTCATTTTCCCAGAAAACTTCTCATCCATTCTTATCACGTCAGTTCCGATCGTGCTATTTTCCTTCGCTGCGCCGATAAGCTCATCTTTCGTTTCAGAAGGAACAGCGGTCGGCTCAGCTTCTTTCGATTCCGATCCCTCCTCCCTAGTAGAAAAGGAGGCAGCAAGATCGGCGGAGAGGGAAACATCCTCCGTCCGTTCGCCGTCGCTTGCTCCGACGACGGCGATCTTGCCGATGAGAAAAACGATGAGGACGGAGAAGACAGCGGTGAGCAGAAGCTCCAGGTAAAACTCCAACTCCATCATTTCGTACCCTACTTCTATCTCTTGCTATCACACCTTACCTTCGCTTCTACTCCACAAAAATGGAGATTTGAATATTTAAGATCAAAATCGAGAAGAAAAACCAGAAAGTAAAGAAAGACAAAGGCGTGGGGTTATTGTAATGTAGATGTGGAAAAGGGACGAAAAAAAAAAAAAAAGGTTGTGGTTTGCTTTTTTTTTTCTTCCTTCATAATAATAAAAATAGATAGAGTTATATTCAGAGTCTACTGATAGGAGCACACATAAATGTGACAGAAAAATAAAAATAAAATCGTTTTAACACAGAAGAATATTACTCCTGTGTTATTCCGCATTATTCAAGTGTTCTTGTGGTGATATTCAAGTATTATTGTGTTCTGGAAATATTCTCGGTGTTATAATAACACAATAACAAATCAATATCATCACAACAACACATGAATAACGCAGAATAACACATTATTGGGCTAGATCACAGGAAAACACGCTCGTTTTCTTGAAATCAGGTATTCACATATTAGTGGACTCTGAACGTAGTTCTACGCCAGGAGTCCTGATGTAATATTTTTCCTTTCACATATCTCTTTGAAGCTACATATTCGCATATTAGTGGACTCTGATCAGGAGAACTGATGTATTATTTTTCCCTTCATATATCTCATTGGTGATTGGAAGTTGGGACAAAATATTTTTTTTTAATTTTTTGGGAGCATTTACATACATACCACCTATATCTTATGTATTTATTATACATTAAATGCATATACTTTTATATTTATTTACATAACAACATTTAAGCATTTAACATCATTACAATTACTAAAGTTAAACTTCATCTTTAGAATAGCATGATATATATATATATATATATATATATTTATGACAAAC